AGGAGAGCGTGTGAGCGCTGAATGGTTTAAACACTGGCAAGAATGAAAAAGAAATGCAATTCATAAACTTTAGTGACGATGCAACATTGCCTCGATTGTGCAAGTGATAATTCCTGTGTCAACTGTGCAGCTAGCTTATAGTGCAGACGCGATGTGATTTTAAGCCATTTGCGCATTTTAAGAGGGAAAGAGAGAGTGCGCGTGGTCATTCACTCGCGCTGTTTGTGAAATTACGTCTCACAGAAAGTTTTCAAATTTCATTGAGTTATTTAATGAAGAAATATGAATTGTACCTCACCTTCAGCATTATAATTATTTCACCCGCGCCGGACAGAGACCGAGACTGTGCCGCTGCATGTCATGCCAAACCTCTCACAGCAGACGCGTCGTCAGCTTGAGATCGTTTTTTTGAGATCGGCCTTTTTAGCGACCGCCGATCAAACATCCCAAAGCGATTATCGGCCGATAGTGATCGGTAGCCGATCAATCGGAGCACCCCTACTTTAAACCTGCAACTTCGCTGGATAACAAATGCATTAAAGTGACCAGCTGGATATAAACTAATGCAAATAGATATTTAACAATCGTGACTTCATTTGCGTCAGACTTGCGTGTGTTTTGTCACATTGTTTTAACAGCTTGAGGTGCTGCTAATGTTCGCGTCCTCTCAACCTTGAGAGCAAATATACTGCTGTTCTTTCTCCACTAATGCAGATATTTTATATTACACCACTTATACAGATATAAATATTTTTTATTTGATAAAATTATAAATGTTTTTCATTGAATGTCGTTTTCTTTGCAAAATTATTACAATTTGCAGCAATCTGGAAAATGTGCAGATTAGTGTTGGGCGATATGGTCATTTTTCAAATTGTCATATCGCCAGCCCGTGAGATCGCCGATACACGATATTATCTAGCGTGCGTGCATGGGTGGGTGGGGGCAAGAGAGAGACCCTCTGTACTTATCATAGGCTATTTCATAACTATGTGGTGTTTTAAACAGAGAGAGAGAGAGCCTATGAAAGCACCAATAATCGAAATAATATACTTTCAAACATACTGATAAACTAACATGTTAAATATAAAAATATTTAAAACAGCTATTTCATATATATTCGGATACAACAGTCATACATCGCTATTAATTACGCACGTCCTGTGACAAGTTTGCCGCATCAGAGCACGGAAGTTATCAGTATAAAATGTCTGCAGTCAACGGTGAAAATCAAAAGTAGATTTATTTTAAAGACCAACAGTTTAACACTAAATATTGGACATAAACGAACACGTTAAATATAAAAGTATTTAAAACAGGTAATTTCATATATTTGGAGTAAAGTTAAATTGAACGGATACATCAGTCATACAGCGCTCAGGACCGTGCGCCCCATGACGAGCCCAACGCGCCGCCACAGAAACAAGAATGAAATGCATTCTAACATAACTGTGGCATTAAACTCAGTTAGTGAGGGCTCGGTTAAAATATTGCACATATATAGGCCGTTCAGATTACTTGTTAAAATGCAATGAAATACCTTATATCAGCAGACGATGTACGTCTGTGTTTGTGGTTGGAGACTCCTTCACCGGCTACAGGCTCTAACCCTCATTTGCGCGAGTGTGAAATGCGGTGCTGAAGTGAAGTAGTGGGGCAATTTGATAATAATAGCCAAATTATAATAGGCCGCCTAATAATAATAATAATAATAATTTAATACATATATAGGAAAATGAGCTTAATATCGTCTTGACTATCGACAAAGACATGTGCTATCGTCGATATCTCTGACTATCGCCGATACACGATACTATCGTCTATCGGCACAACCTTAGTGCGGATATAATATAACGTCATAAATTCATAAACAAATTTTTTGTTGGAAAACGATGGCTTACAATGCAAAACTTTACTGATGATTTCACATTCCTACTGATGATTTCAAGATTGACCTTGAAAGTCAAGTAATTTAATACAATTATATAACTCCATGGCCATTTGTATAATGCATACATTTTTCTAGTTATTCCAAGCTCTAAAATGTTTTATTGGGTAGAAATTGTGAGTAAAAATACTTAGTAATAGTAAAAATCCTTATCCTTAATATCCTTATTTACATCATGAACAAACTGGAATTGTCATGGGGCCTTTGAATATTGTTGTAGGCAGTAGGGCGACTTGTCAAAAAGGTTGAGAATCACAGCAAACCAAGTGTTTAGGTTTGCAGGGAATGGATGTACAAGATCAGTGTATGTTGCATTTTTGATCGCAGGTCTTTCTTATTGTTGAGCTCTGTTCAAGGCTAGATTTTGCACCATTCATCCAGGCCCACATAAATCAATACATAACCACAGGATGTTGGTGTCCAGCTCTTTTTCCTTTAGTGTGACTATAAGGCTCAGTTACTACAAGCTCAGTCCTTTAGGCCAAGTAATAATACCAGGCAGTGAAATCAGTGAAATGGAGCTTCCAGGAGGCCCTGTACTTGCATTATGCATATCCAGATAACATCTAAGTTTTTCCATTGATCTCTTACGTGATGTTGAACACACACACACACACACATAGGCAGAGCAGGAAGATACGGCAGAGCACTCCATTCCCAAAGAGACGTTGGCATTCATTCAACAAGGAAGTGATTTATTTTAAACAAACGAGGAAATTGAATGGTGCCTTAGCATACCCTCTAAAAAGCCTCTGGCTGGTTCAGCAGCCATAAACTGTCGAGTTTCTTAAAACACTGGAGCAGAGACTGGTGGCCGATATAAAGCCGATATGTAAGGTATATATACTTTATAATTATTTGAATAAATTAGAAATAATTTGAAAATGAATTTAAAAATAAATTGTTTAATTAAACCAACTTACATTAGATGGCAACTCCTTGATTCTGTAATCGTATTACAGTATTTTCACAAATAGTTTGAAACGTGAATAAAAAGGAAGTAACACCGTAACCAAGCTGATGCTCCATAATCTGGTACGTTTGTGCGCACTGGGAATCATATTTTTTCTAATAAAGACAAGGTAATACTAGTTTTACATACAGCACACAGTGAATATGACGGTGGGCAACTGAATATAGTGCAGCATAATTTGAAATCAAGGGTTTAAAGTTTGTCGATCGTGCGTCTCCAGTGACAGCTAAACTCTCCTGTAGCCTACACATTCAACTCACATGGACTGACCATCACAAACAAAACACGTTCATGCTGGCTACAAATGTGCACTTCAGAATATCTGACAGCTGGTTTCGACTAAGTCTGCAACGTTTGTGAAATTAAATGTTTATTAGATATTCAACGATTTGTTTAAATGATATAAATGCGTATTTGCTGAATGCTGACGTTAAATGAGAACATATTATAGTGTTTGACTTTCTGTTACTAATAATATAAAAGCAAATGCTATAATAGGCCTACTTTTTCGTATACAGTTTAGTTTCTTTGTTTAAAAATTCTCTCTAGCAACTTATTAGACAAAACTGTTAAACAGAGACTAACAAATGAAGACGCAGAATGGGAACGCTTTGTGCTCAGGCGCTGCTGTTCTCAGAGAGCAGTTATGGAGTTCAGATATTGTTTCAACGAAGTTGCAAGCCTTATACATAAATGTAAAGTAAAAATCAAAGTTAAGAATGAGCAGGGAGAAGAAACTGAGAGGGAGTGCGGGGAGACTGTTAAAGTTAGTAAAGATTAATATTGGAATCTGAAGCGGCACATTGCCAGAAAGCACGAGGATGTGCTCCCGATCATGACATGCAGACAAAATCACGGCCACGAATTTAGAATAGGCTAGTTCTCTTTTATGCTAGGACTAGCTACATTATGGCCACGAATTAAGAATTAATTTTTTCGTTTAGTCTAAATTATGGCCACGAATTAAGTATTCATTCTCTTGTTTAGGCTTAGCTGCCACGAATTCATTCGTTCGTTAATTCGGTCATTCCCTAGTTTTAGTAGGCCTAAATCATGGAACTAATTATTATATTTCGTAATTACTTATTAAAATCATTATTGCTTAAAATTAATAAATAATAATAAATAAATAAATAAAATAATAAAACCTGCTGACGTCGTAGAAACGAATTGTTAAATCGAATTATATTCGGAGCTCCGTAGTTATTAAATAATCTCAGTTAAACTGTAGACCTAAACTAACACACAGCTGTATATAGGCCTAAATACAGAACTACAGAGTACAGAAGATATTAGCCTACACCACTTAGGCCTATTAAAATATTATTTAAAAAGAAAACTGACCCGAACCAATAGGTAGACCTACAGAATGTAGGCTAGATATAGGCAACAGTAATTTATAGTCTAATATAACGCACGCAACTTTGTTTTTTACAGAACGGAGCGGGATCTGAGCGGGAATTGGTTTACGGCGAGCGTGAGCGGAATATTAACGGAGCGCTTGCTTGGGCGGTTAGAGCGACTGAGTGGAGCGCACGTCCATAGAGCGGAAAACATAGCGCACATGCTCTGCTTCCAACACATCGGCCAATCGACCCTAATGGGTTTGTCATGAGTTTAGTGGAGAAACAAAGGTCCCTTATGCTGAGATGTAAATACAGCTGATGTCAGTGTCATGAAGAGAGAAGTCGTGTTAGGGGCCCACTGGCATTATTAATTCATCCGAACATGCTGTGCTGCTGAAGATTTAGCTTGCCGCCATGTGCGTCTACGAATTGGAGAACTGGAGCATGAAGGAGGACAGTATTAAGATGCCTACAGCTCAAGTTCAGCTTTAAAAAGCTTTCAGACACTTCACTTCCTCATAGCAGTCGTCTTTTTTTTCTTTTTTTTTTTAGTTCCACTAAAGTGATGTTGGTATATGATATTCCGCCTCGTTCACTCCTTTAAACGCCTATTTTGAGGTGATTATTTTCAGAGGCTGTGAATTGCATTGATCACTTGAGTAATTACGCTCTCTATTTGGATTTATATTGTCTTAGGGGAATGTTTTTGGTTTGGTTTGGTCTCCTTATCTAGGGCCTGTGAACCTTCACCTGACCTGCTATAGTCGGACTCCTCTCTTTAGACGCTAAAGAAGCACTCTTCAAACTCCAGGACCATGTCAAGTAAGCTTACTGAATGAATACACAAAAATAAAAATGGAAGCGTAGTTGTATTTGTGTATTGCCAAACACAGTTAATCCCCTCACAAGCGCTTCTGATCTCTTTAGCAGGTAATTACACTCCAGCCCCAGGGGGCCCTTTTTCGGCCCTCACACCCAGCATGTGGCCCCAGGACATCCTGGCCAAGTACTGTCAGGTAGTTTACTCATATATATTTTTTCTTAGAGGTCTTGTTTTATAATGCTCTTAAGTGCCCGATAAATGTTATTATGCTATTGTAACATCTTCATGGGAAGTGGTTCATCTCTCAGAGACGTTGTTTTGACTGTTGCAGAAAGACCCCAGTATGGGAGCAGAACTGCAGTATGATGAATTTGGGTTCCGGATCGATAGTGAAGGTTAGTGTGGGAACATCAACACTCATTAAAAGTTGAACAGGTCCCAACCCTAACGTGTATCTAGGACACCCACAGAAAAAAAACAACAAATCTGTATTTAAACTGCAATGAATTTATGCACTAGGCTGAACTTTGCATAATCTATTATTCTGCACCATCTCAGGCAGTTTTTAATATACAAACACTGTTTGTTTTTTTAAGAAATTAATACTCCGCAAAGATGCATGAAATTGATCCAAAGCGACAGTGAAGACATTTATAATGTTACAAAAGATTGCGTTTTCAAATAAATGCTGTTCTTTTTAACTTTCTAATAACCAAAGAAGCCTGGAAAAAATGTATCATGGTTTCCACAACTGATTTCAGCAGATAATAATAAGAAATGTTCCTTCAACACAAAATCATACGGTGGCCGAGAAGTGCAAAGCAAATCACAATTCTGAAAACAAAATAACAAATTACAAACGCAAATGCAAGTCTAAAAAACAAAATAACAATTCAGAAAGCACAACAACAATTCAGAAAACATTATAACAAGTCAGAAAACACAACGACAAATCAGACAAACCGGAAAAGGTAGGTATAGTTTGAGACTTGGTTTTTGACGCGATCGACCCGTTTTTTGACTTGTTAATTTGTTTTCGGATTTGTCGTTGTGTTTTCTGACTTGTTATTTTGTTTTTTAGACTTGCATTTGCGTTTGTAATTTGTTATTTTGTTTTCAGAATTGTGATTTGCTTTGCACTTCACGGCCACCGTAAAATCAGCATATTAGAATTATTTCAATGTGACACTGAAGACTAGTAAGAGTAATGACTGCTCTATACAATATATATATATATATAGAAAAGTGTTATTTTAAGTAGTAATGATATTTCACAATATTACAGTTTTTACTGTATTTTTGTTCAAATAAATGCAGCCTTGGTGAGAAAAATCTTACTGATCCCAAACTTTCAAATGGTAGAGTATTTAATATGTATTATCACTAGTGTGTTTAATTATTGCCAATAATTTATTATGTCGAAGCTTTGTTGTAGAAATTTTTGTCACAGTTGACTTTTGGAAAAGCAAGTGATCAGGTTTAAAAAGAGGGATATCCCCCTGGAATGCTTAATGTCAAGCCCTGTTAAAAGCAGGACTCATCTAGTACTGTCTTTCCCCATATCTGACAAGAGTTAAGACAGGGTTTTTTCTGTTTCAGATGGGGTTGAGACAAGAAAATGGCAGCGCGGTGAGGGAGCCCCTCAGAGAGAGGACCCTCAGCAAAGGCTTCGCTGGCAAGCCCATCTGGAGTTCACGCACAATCACACTGTAGGAGACCTGACGTGGGACAAGATCTCCCCCACACTGGCTCGCTCTGACCGCCTTCGGACCCTGGTGCTGGGGGGCGTACCACACAGCATGAGACCACAGGTCAGCACTGAGAACCTGTTTATCAACCCTCTAAATGTGCATTTGTGTTTTTACCTCAACATATTTCAGGCTGCCCTTGTATTGTTACACACCATCCGGCAGCTAATGTTCCCATGGCAACCATGTTAATGCTTGAGGGATTCTTAGTGTCACTGAAATAGGACATGATGTCTTGGTAATATCTTGTTTATGCTGTATTGCTATTTTCAGAGATTCCCATGAGAACAGCGGTGCGTTTCAATCTTTGCTGGATCTTGTGTGTTTATCTGTCTTGTTCCTCATTGTCTCTTTCATGTATTCCCTTAGTTGTGGATGCGTTTGTCAGGGGCCCTGCAGAAAAAGAGAACATCAGAAATTTCCTACAAGGAAATAGTCAAAAACAGCTCTAATGATGACACCACAGCAGCCAAACAGGTACATGTCATCTCTGCCACGGATCTGATGTAGTAAGAGATTTATTTGAAATGAAGACTATTGAGTTTTCTGAGAATCCTAAAAAAAATGTATCATTGTTTTCACAAAAATAGTAGGCAGCACAACTGCTTTTAACATTGATAGCAATAAGAAATGTTTCTTGAACACCAAATCTTAACTTAATTTATAATGTAATAAATTATAATGGCTATTACAGTATATTAAAATAAATAAACACATAAAAAGGGATCTCAAGATATGCATTTAAAACCGAACTATTTTAAATTTGACACATCTGCTTCAATAACATTTTTGAATTATCTTAATTTGGGGATTTTTGCAGGTAACATTGATATGCATTTTATTTGTGATTTGTTTGATTGCTTCATTAGAAGATTTTCTTTTCAATTGAAAGCTCAAATTAATTCACGCATACAGACTCACCCTCAGACTTTACATAGCCATCTTCCAGTATTGATTTTATTATGGTTGTCTCTCTGTCTGTGCTGCAGATAGAAAAGGATCTTTTGCGGACCATGCCCACTAATGCGTGCTTCAGCACCATGTCGAGTGTGGGGGTGCCCAAACTCAGGAGGGTCCTCAGAGGGCTGGCGTGGCTGTATCCAGACATCGGCTACTGTCAGGGCACAGGCATGGTGGGAAGCAACCTTATCACAGACTCTTTGTCTCTCTCTGTTGCGCAACATTTGGGTCATCGGGTGTCAAACTCTGAGGTGTGTGTGTGTGTTTGTCTTTGATACAGGTGGTGTCCTGTCTGCTGCTGTTTCTGGAGGAGGAGGATGCTCTGTGGATGATGTGTGCTCTGATAGAGGACCTGCTGCCTCCCTCATACTTCTCCTCCACGCTGTTGGGAGTTCAGACTGACCAGCGTGTGCTCAGACAGCTCATAGTGCAGTATCTGCCTAGTCTAGACCAGCTGCTGCAGGAGCATGACATTGGTGAGATTCAACAGCCTCAAAAATATTCAATGCACGTTACTTTTTTAATTGGTTTTGCTCCAAAGAGTTATTCCTCCAAAATATGTGCAGAAAATGTAAAAAAGCATTCTAATGTTAATGTTTTCCCTCTCAGAGCTTTCTTTAATCACGCTGCACTGGTTCCTCACTGCCTTTGCCAGTGTGGTGGACATCCGCATCCTGCTGCGAATCTGGGACCTGCTCTTCTACGAGAGCTCAGTGGTGCTCTTCCAGGTTACGTTGGGCATGCTGAAGATCAAGGTTGTTTAACTTTGTAATAAAAAAATCAAGCTTTCATATGTTAAACAAGTGTTGAGTGTTTGATTTGACACACAGTCAATAACAATGGTTTCTTCTTGTGTTGTAAAGGAGGAAGAACTGGTATCATCTGAGAACTCAGCATCCATCTTCAACACACTCTCAGATCTGCCCAGTCAACTAGAGGATGGAGCGGCAGTGCTGGGCGAGGCTGTGCGTCTGGCAGGATCTCTGTCTCAGGAAAACCTGGATGCACACAGACACAAGCATCTTGCCTACATCCTGGCAGAGCAGGCCCAGCTCAACTCCGGCAACTCCCATTCCCTCCACACCAACCTCAACAAGGTTGAGAACCTGAACAGCATCTTGGATCATCATCTGTGATGCCCACATTTTGACACACTTTATTTGCAATATACAAAATGTGTAATCAGGCTCACTCTCATAGGTGTGTGTCATTGTGCAGGTGGTCCGCAGACAAAGCCTGCGTAGGAAATCCACTCTGAGCTCGCTTCTCTGGGGGGAGGACGAGGTGGAGGCGCTAAAGGCCAAAAACATTAAACAGACAGAGCTGGTGGCAGAGCTGAGAGAAGCCATCAGTCGGACCGCAGAGCACTTTCACTGCCTGGACCCCCGCAACTGCAGCACTGTAAGAGCCACTCGATCACATGAATCACATTTTAGAATCTGTCAGGAGTAATTCGATTAGAAACAGAACATTTGCACTGAAACAGCAACACTGACTCATGTACCTGATGACTCACTGAGTTGTTTTGTTAAATTGTCAAGTCAAGTCACCTTTATTTATATAGGGCTTTATACAATACAGATTGTGTCAAACAGGAAAATAGTTTGTCAATAATGCAAGAGGACAATAACAAACAGAGATGTGTTTTTTTTTTATATAATAATAATAATAATAATAATAATATTTAGTATTAGCAATATTTTTGTTATTATAGCCCATACAATTTTTAGATTTTTGTTAACATTGGTTTACACATTTCTCGTCTCTCTCTCTCTCTCTCTAGGATTTGACTCCAGACTATTCTATGGAGAGCCATCAAAGGGATCACGAGAACTTCCTGGTTGTGTCTCGGAATCGTCGGAGACGAGCTAAAGCCTTGCTGGATTTTGAACGGCATGACGATGATGAACTGGGTTTTCGAAAGAATGACATCATCACAGTGAGCCCCTGCAGTTTCTGTCATCTAAACATGTTAACTGATGCCTTGGCTTTGTTCCTTAACTGTATTTCTGTGTTTATTCTTAGATCATCTCACAGAAAGATGAGCACTGCTGGGTTGGAGAGCTGAACGGCCTGAGAGGTGAGCTGAGATGTGCTTACAATACACATTGAGCTTGTCTTTGATTTTCAGAAATGGTTCCAACTACATTTATAATCTACATACAACTCATTACACCAATCAGTATTTCTCACAAACCTTTTGTCCCGTTAGGCTGGTTTCCTGCAAAATTTGTGGAAGTCTTGGATGAACGAAGTAAAGAGGTAATAGCTTTGCTTTTTGGAGTTGCATTGTGTCTTAATTCCTGTTAATAGGGGATAAACGTCTTAACTGTCTCATGCACACGTGTTCTTGTCATTCAGTACTCTCTGGCTGGAGATGACACCGTAACTGAGGCAGTGAATGACTTGGTCAGAGGCACACTGTGTCCTGCTCTCAAGGCCATCTTTCAGCACGGCCTGAAGAAGCCCTCCATACTGGGAGGACCCTGTCACCCGTGGCTCTTCATCGAGGAGGTAGGAGCAGGTTGTGTTTTCTAGATAAAGTAATATACATATAGATACATATACAGTGGAGAGCAAAATTAGAGAACAATCTATAAATACTAGGGTTGTGCCGATAGACAGTCAGAGATAGTCAGAGATATCGACGATAGCAAATGTCTTTGTCGATAGTCAAGACCATATTAGGCTCATTCTCCTATAAATGTATTAAATTATTATCATTATTAGGCTATTATTATCAAATTGCCCCGCTACTTCACTTCAGCACCGCATTTCACACTCGCGCAAATGAGGATTAGAGCCTGTAGCCGGTGAAGGAGTCTCCAACCACAAACACAGACGTACATCGTCTGCTGATATAAGGTATTTCATTGCATTTAACAAGTAATCTGAACGGCCTATATATGTGCAATATTTTAAC